TTCTCTATAAGAAACAAGATCCGGTGAGGAATCAACAAAGTTGATGTCATCCAGTAATTACACACTACTAAAGAAACTTTTTTGGAGGTGGGCGAAATGGATTAACCAAGGCGGGCATCACAACCGCCTCGGTTCAAAGGTCTCGGTAAATCGATCTTTCCCGAGGCGTGCGGTTCAAATGCCTGCCTCGGTTAATCAAATAAAAAACAAAAAAAAAAAACCCATGGGACGGGCCCGTTGAACCCATCCACATCATTGCCGCCGCCGCTTGTTGGATCTGCCGTCGGGATCGCGCCGCCATAGATCAGCTGCCGGGGGACGCGCCTGCCCTCGATCCGTAGCCTAGGACTGGATCTGGCCCAAGGAGGAGGTGGCGCCGCCATCCATCATCGCCCACCGCCGGATCCTCCACGTGTTGCACCGGATCTGCGTGGAGGAGATGTTGCTGCTTCTTGATCTGATGCCGGAGGTGATGACGATGCACATGGCCACCGATGTGGAAGTGGCGGTGGTGCCGCATCCACAGTGGTTGAGGTGGTGGCGTCGAATCCATCGCCGGGGAAGGCCGTCGCGTGCCCGCAACCCACGAGCTGTCGCCGTGGAATGCCACCACGAGCCCGCCGTCGGTGGAGGGTTTCGACCGCCAGGAGGGGGCCCTGGCCTCCAGGCGCACCGCCCGGAGAAGGCCGCCCTGCGCGCCGTCGAGACAGGGAGAGGAGCTCGGCTGTGCTAGGGTGTGCTCGGCTAAGGGAGAGGGAGAGGGAGAGGTAGAAGGAGAGGAGAGGGGGGCCTTGCGGCGCTGAGGAGAGAGAGGCAGTCTTGTGGCGCCTAAGGGAGAGAGAGACGGAGTGCGGCGCCAGAGGGAGAGGGAGAGGAAGAGAGATAGGGTTACATGTGTGCTCGGCGTATATATATACTACGAGCCCATTACTAGGTCTAGATGGGCTAGGTGGGCTGACCATGATTAATAGAGGTGGGCCTTATGGTTGTCCACCTCCGAAAATGGATTTGCCTCCAAAAATGGAGGATTTTTTGAGGCGGTTGTCTTAAGATGTCCACCTCCCTAAATCGATTTTAGGAGGCGTTTGTTTTTTAACCGTCTCTGTAAATCGATTTTACGTGGCGAGCAAACTTGACCCCCTCTGTAAATGAAAAGAACCACCTCCGAAAATCCTCAGCCATTTTACGAGGCGGTCAAATTTTATGACTACCTCGGTTAATGTTTGGGCACTGCATAGTAAAATTATTTTTGTAGCAGTGACATGTGGCACAATTTATTAAATCTAAACTCTAACTATTACAGCTAGACTGGACAAAGGGTCTTCTAGTTCATCACACACGAGGTGCTCAATGTTTTGTGTGCAGTATGTTTCTGTCAGCATTGTTCCTCTGGTTGGATTTCTTATGGTGGAGCGTGTCTACCTGGACTCAAGTCCTCGACTTGGCAGGGATGCTTCCATTTTTTTTTAGATTTGACAGCTTTTTCTTTCAATAGTAGACGACATGCCCATCAACGACAATGCGCCTACGGTGACTTCACCAATGCAATCTCTAAATCTGTTAGCTCAGCCTCAATGTTTTGGTACTTATAGGAGTACCATCTGTGTGAGTGTTGCATTAATAGGGGTGAATGTGTGTACATGTACGAGTGTCTAGGAGTACCATCTGTGTGAGTGTTGCATTAATAGGGGTGAATGTGTGTACATGTACGAGTGTCTACACGTTGTATTGTGATTCGTAAAAAAAAAGGTCTAAGAGCCCAACTCACTTATGGTGGCTTCGCCAATCTATAAATCTACTAGGTCAATTTTAGTCTCTCGGTGCTCATAGTGGTACGGAGTGTATGTGTGCGCATGCAAAGAGGTGAATGTGTGTATATGTATAAGTGTCTGTTGTACCATGATTCGTAAAAAAAGAGGTCTAAAAGATTAAAAGTCCAACTACAATTATAGTGAATAAGTGTCTACATTGTACCATGATTCGTAAAAAAAAATAGAGGTCTAAGAGCCCAACTACAACTATAGTGACACGTGACAGAACTAGTTGCTTGCAGTAGTCTATACTCCTCCCATACGTATTGCAGTTAATTATTGAAATAAGATACGGAGCAAGTTGGTAGTATTATTTCATGGACGGCACGAACCAATCATCACTCTACTTCTTTATTACAAGCACGACGTTTCATTACATTCCAACCTGGTCGATCAGACAATATTTGTTAAAGCTGTGTTACGTGTAACACGTTTTGGTTAGTCGCAATCACTACCGGAATCCTCAAATTTGCCGAGTGTTTTTATGTTTACCGAATGTATTCCCTCGGCCACTCGGCGAATAAGTGATTTGCCAAGTGCTACGCTAAAAACACTCGACAAAAAAAAACACTCAACAAAATAGGGGTTTGCCGAGTGTAAAAAAACACTCAGCAAAGAGCGGGTTTGCCGAGTGTCAAAAAAAAACACTCGGCAAATAAATAAAATCTTTTTTTTTGAAAAGAAGGAGAAGAAAAAAAATAAAAAAAAACCTTTGCTTAGTCTAGATCTACAACACTCGGCAAAGAAATATAAAATCTTTTTTCTGAAAAAAAGGAGAAGAAAAAAATAAAAAAAAAACTTTGCCGAGTGCTAGATCTACAACACTCGGCAAAAAAAAATTCCTGAAAATAAAAGCCCGACTTTGCCAAGACACCGCCCCCCTCCGTCACCCCCATGCAGCCGCCTCCCTCCCCCTCCCTCCTCCCAGCTCCCTCTCCTCCTCCTCCTCCTCCCTCCGCGCCCCCTCCTCCTCCCTCTCCCAGATCCGCGCGGCCCCTCCCTCCTCACTCTCCGTGGCCCCCTCCTCCTCCCTCCTGGATCCGCGCCCCCTCCTCCTCCCTCATGGCCGCCCCCCCCTCCTCCTCCCTCTCCCGGATCATGCGCCCCCCCTCTCCTCCCTCTCCCGGATCTGGCGCGCCCTCCTCCTCCCTCTCCAACGTGGCCCCGCCCCCCCCTCCTCCTCTCCCGGATCCGTGCGCGCCCCCCTCGAGCCCTCCTCTCCGAGATCCAGCGACGACAGGCGTGGTGTGGTGGTGGGGCGTGGGCTATGCTTGGCGGCTTTGGGCGTGGTGGGCGGCGTGGTGGTGGTGCGGCGTGGTGGGGCCTCCTTCTTCCTCGGCGTGTTGGCGGGCGGCGTGGATGGTGGTGGTGCGGCGTGGTGGGGCCTCTCCTTCTTCCCTGGCGTGGTGGCGGCGGCGTGGATGGTGGTGGTGCGGCGTGGTGGAGCCCTCCCTTCTTCCCGGCGTGGTGGCGGTAGCGTGGATGGTGGCGGGCGGTCTTTGGTGGTGCGGGCGTGGTGTCGGCGTGTCTTTTTTTTTGAAAAAAAGTTTGCCGATCTGAGGGTTTGCCGAGTGTAATTTGCGAGTATAACACTCGGCAAACCCTTTACCGAAAGTGTTTTTGGCTTTGCCGAGTGCCCCAACCTCCTGTATCCGGTAGTGAATCTTTAGCTAGCCAGGTATGTATGAGATACACTACTCGTATAGCCATGGTTGCTGCAGCATGTCTTTGTTGTGTAACCTGAATAGTGAATCTGAATAGTGAATATGACTGTTTGTTTCTTTTGAGCAAAAGTTTAACCCTGTCACATCGAATCTTTATGATACCAATTAGGAGTATTAAATATAGGCTAATTAAAAATTACACAGATTGAGGTTAATTTGTGAGACAAATCTATTAAGTCTAATTAGTCCATGATTTGACAATATGGTGCTACAGTAAGCATTTGCTAATTATACATTAATTAGGCTTAATAAATATGTCTCTCTAATTAGTCTACTCCTGTACAATTAGTTTTATAATTAGCTCATGTTTAGTCCTCCTAATTAGCATCCGAACATCTGATATGACACGGCTAAACTTTAGCCCCTGAATCCAGTACTGAAGGCATGTTTGGCAGGACTCCTCTCTGGCTCCAGCTCTGTTCTTCTTGAGAAGCTGTTTTTCTGTAAAAAACAGAGGAGCCGGAGCCATTTTGGAGTGGCTCCTCCAAAACAGCTCCAACTCCTCTAAAAGAGCCCCTCGGGTGAAGCCGTGTCAAACACTCCCTGACTCTGATTGCATTGCTCTCTGCTTGTCAGCATGCGTGCGCAGGCGTTGGCCGTATTAGTTGCAATAACGACCGTTAGTTCGTTTCTGCTGCTCAAACTTGGGGAAGTGTGTGGGCTTGCTGCTCGGATCAGCCGATCGATCCACTTGTTGACTGACTGCGCATGCACACGGTACGCGTCGTCGAACGCTGACGAGGACCGGCCGGGACACCGTACCTTTGGTTATGAACTGAACTTGCTGTGCATACGTGGAGCAAATATACTCAGTTCGAGAAAGAATGCAATTCTACCACTCACATAGAAAATACTACCTCTCACATTCGAGAAAGAATATAATTCTAACAGTTATGCATGTGTTTTCTCAAAAAGAATGTAACTCTAGCTTATTAAGTATAGAATTTATAGGTGCAATTATTTGTTTTTGTCTAATCAGCACATATGGAGAATACATATATAAAAAAGAGTACGGGTACATGCATTTTTGTGTTGTGTGCTAATAACTTCTTTTGGATATGCGAGAATTGTATTCTTTTTCGGGGCGGAAAGAGTACCACTGCTGATGGAATAGAAGTGTTAAAGTTTAGGAGTAGTATTTCAGTTTCAGTCTTTCAGAGATGTTTACTTCCGGGCATCTTCTTGGACTATTAGTGCGTGCCCTGCTGGAGGCTCCCACAATCCACCGTCTGAACCATACTTCAGTGAGCTCACCTTCTACCTGCTCGACGACCAATGTATCCATGGATTGCAATCGAATTCCACGCGCTCTGGTAGGCTCTGGTCTGGTCCACCACCCACACATGGAGAGGTTAGCTGCATATATAAGCTCGTCAAGAGCTGCCATGGATGAGTTAACATACATACATTCACTCTCGCACTCCATCCATATCCAGGAAGAAGAAGAAGAGGTCCCGTCCGGTCGATGGCTTTCGTGGCGGACCGTGAGGCTGCGGTGAGGGAGGTGGCGCAGGTGTACGAGCTCATCAAGCTCCAGCAGCCTCCTCTCCTCCTCCACTCGCAGCAGCCACAGCCGTCGACGACCCAGCTGGCGCAGAGCCTCCTCAGCAAGGCGCTGCGAACACTCAACGTCGCCCTTTCCGTCATGAAGCAGCAGCAGCAGCCTGCTGCTCCTGTGACACCAACAAGCGTCAAAGCTGAGCCTCATCAGTTCTCGCCGCCCAGCCCGGCGTCTGCTGACTCCCAAGCCGCCATAGTACCCAGCACGGCAGCAAGCAAGAGGCGCCAAAAGAAGAAGAAGGTGTGTGTGCACGCTGCTGGATCCTTCGACTTCAGTTATGTATTTTATGTGCAGTTTTCAACCTCCTAGTTCGATCGTTGACTGTCGCTTCCAATGGAAACTGCTGCACGGCAGATCATCAGTAGCGATGGAAGGGAAGAAGAAGACCTCGTCGTCATGGGCGACGGTAACCGCCGTGCCCTACGACGACGGCTACGAGTGGAGGAAATACGGCGAGAAGAAGATCAACGGGACGTTCTTCACGAGGAGCTACTTCCGGTGCACCTACAAGGACGACGCCGGCTGCCAGGCCACCAAGCACGTCCAGCAGATGGACAACATTAGCGACGACCCGCCCATGTTCCACGTCACCTACAACAACGACCACACCTGCAACACTAGTGCCAAAGCCAACACCGGCAGAAGCAGCAGCAACCTCGCTGCATTGCTAGCAGGCTGCTGCAACATGAAGCAAGAACCAACTGGGCATGCTGCTGCGGTGGCGGCGGCCATGAACATGAAGCAAGAACCACCGCCGCTGCTGCTGCCTCCTCTGGTGGACCTCCAGCCTTCTGCCTGTTTTCCTCATGAACAAATTCCACAGTGCCAAGAGCTGCTGTTTCCTGTAAGTATGGAGCAGCAGTTCTGTGGTGCTTTTAGAGACGATGATAGTGAGATCCCGTCGGCTACTGGTTCGTGCATCTCCGGCGAGACCAGCTGGGATGGGTATTCTGGGGACATGCGGCGGCTGAAGATGACCCTCTCCATGATCTCGAGCGTTTCCTCTTCATGGACTACTAGTACTATCTGGATCTGAAACCTAATTAACAAGATTATGAGGGTAGTAGAAGTATAGTTTGATCTTCCTTTTTTAACATTTTTAGGGCAGTAGTGCCAATAATACAGTTTTCTGTAGGGAGAAACAAGAAATCCAGTAAAATAAGAGTGCATGAGATGTAAAACAAACGATCATTTGATATATAATGTCCAGCACCTTATGTTTTGGTTTGCAGGTGCCTAACTGTTTAAGCACTTTATTATGGTCCTTGGAGAGATATGCCTAAGGTTTCAAGTGGCGAGTTAAGCCATTTAGTCGTGGCCTCCTTCAAAATCCATACAAAGCTATAGTCGGATATCGCGGTGAGTACTTATTTAGCAGTTTTTATATAGAAAAACATAAAAATTCTCAATTAATTATGCAAATAAACACAGAACTAACAATATTACAACGACACCAATACTCAAATACAAGTCCATACCTCTATGATAACATATCTCTAGGTTCATTACTTCATCGTCAATGATCCAACATGGGCGTGCGTCCGTGACTCCCGTCTGGACACAGCTTGCAGGAGCGGGCCTCATCTCTTTCATTTCAGAAACAAAAAACAAAAATCATCACTCCCTCATATGCTTATCCACCCGGCACCTGAACCGGCGTGGCCACTCATCCGTCCGCTCCCTTCCCCCACCGCGCGCTTGTCGGGCTGCCGCGCCATGCCCTTCCCCCCATTGCCGGTCGCGCCGCGTGCCATCGCTCCCTACGCCGCTCACCTGCGTCCTAGTCACCTGCGCCGCTCGTCCGTCGCCCATCGCCGTTGGGCGCGCTGCTGTAACACCCTAAAATTTGCATGATTTTAAAATAGGTGAATTTGATTTAATTATGCATTTTGTGAGCATTTAAATTTAGAAAAATGATAACTTATTTAAAATTTAAAATCAAATATAAGGTTTAGCAACATTTTTGTGCATTCATGCTATTGCATTTTGTTTATTGTGATGAGTGGTTTGATCCAAAATTCAAATTTATTTAAAATGTTTTTGAAAATGGGTTTGAAAATAGAATTCAGAAAAAAAAAAGAAAAGGAAAAACTCATCTCCCTCTCTTCTGGCCCAGCCGGCCCAGCAAGCCACTCGGCCCAGCTCCTCCTCTCCTGCGCGCAGCCCATCTCCTTCCCTCTCCCGCGCAGCCCTTCCTGGGCCAGCCCAGCCAAGCCGCATCACCGCGCCTCCTCTCCCCCGTCTCTTCTCTGGCTGGCAAGTGGACCCTGCATGTCAGCGCGCCACCTTCTTCCTCCCCGCGACATGTACACGCCGGACTCCACCGCGCCGCCTCCGACTCCGCCACCGCCATGCCTCCTCCCTTTGCCGTGCTTCCCAAGATGCTCCTGGCCATAAATACCGGGCGCCCCGCACCGTGCCGCTTCCATCCCTAGCCTCGGAGCCGCAGCCAAGAAGCCAACAAACCCTAGCGCCACCATCCGACGTCGCCCCGCCGAGCCGCGCCCCGCCTCTGTCCGCTCCGCGCCTCGGTAAGCTGTCTAGTCGAGTTCGGCATCTCTCTCTCTCTTTCTCCCCGTGCTTCTGGTTTGCTCTCCCGTGGCCACTAGGGCCGTCCCTATGAACTCCGACGAGGAGCCGAGCTCCCCGGCCATGGCGCCGCCACGCACAGCGCCGCTCCAGCTCCGGTGACCACCGTTCCCCCATTTGATCTGCATCGCCCGATCTGAGATCAACGGCCTAAATTAGAAGATACCTCTTCGACGGGTAACTTTGCTAAGGAGACCCTGAGTTTCTATGAAATTAACTCACCGTCCACTGCCTTTCAGAAATCATTCAAAATATGCCCTTAATTTATCTGTTTTGGCCCTTGTGTTTTTCCAAAAATGAGGCCAGGTCCATTAGGCATTTTTAATTCGGTTTTAATTATTTTAATCTGAAATTGATTCCAAATATTTCTGAATTGCCACTTGATCTTATTTTATCGTAGTTTCTCTGTTTTAACTCCGATTTGACCCATTCAAGTTGCATTAGATTAAGTAATGGAGTAATCTACATGTTTATCTTATCTTGTTAAATATAATTTCAACTTTTGAAATTCGAGGTTAGATTTAATCTATTATTTTAAAGGAAATCTTGTTTAATTTATAACTTCTTAAGTTATAGCTCCGATCGAGTGTTTTTCGGCGTCTATGTGTTTGTAGCAAGACTTGATTAGCTTTTACAAACTTTTCATCTTGATTTTATTGTCTCGTGTCTTTGTTCTAATTTAGTTTTATTGTTTACTTCAGTATATGATTGCATGGATGCTTGTATGGTGCTTTATGATCATGTCCGGTCGATGAGCTTTGCGTTGGTGATATAAAAGAAGTTGGTGATCAGAAGAAGTCTTTTGGAGGTTACAATTCAATAGAAGAAGGATCTCGAGTTTAAGGCAAGTATAGTATGGGATCTTCCTTGTTGTCCTATACACCTTTAATCATTTAATTCATGTTGCATGTGTCTACCTTGGCAACCGTAGTAATTTTCCTAGCTAATTGATATCCCGGATTCCTCGACACCATTGGGTTATTCCATTGGGTAGTTTTGCTAGTGCTCAACTACAACCATGATCTTGTAACTTGACTAATAGAATATGCAATAAACACTTAAAGATGATTTTTAGCAACATGGAACAAAGGGGCTAGAGCATTGGGCTATTTTATGGTGCTCTAGATTCCTCTCCCTAAGGACTTATCTGTAAGTGATCATCCGGGACTTACTGAGACAGCTCACGAGGGCTACATGGCTCGGCTTTAGCTCGATATGAGGACCTTTTCTAGCTTGTTAGTGGTTACCTTTATTGGCATAAGAATGGCTTGACGAATCGGGTATAGTCACGACCTCTGTCCCCTTGTATATAAATTTGCAGCGTCATTGTACCATCGAGAAAGGGGCTCTACATCTATTTGCCGAGTGAATCTAATGGCCCTAACTTGTTAGAAGAACCTTTGAAAGGCTTCATAGTGAACCTGCCGACCTTCCTTGGAAGTGGGTCAAGAGATTAGCTACCTCGGCGAAAGGGTAAATCACGACTCACACGGTGAAAGTGTATAACCTCTGTAGAGTGTAAAGCGGTATATCGGTAGTGCTCACGGTCATGAAAGCGGACTTGGAACCCTTACGGAATAGATGATGAACAACGATGATCGGATGATGAAGATGCTCACTAATGATTCTTGTTTATGCTATTCATTATTCATATTTATCGATCATGTGTTTATATGGGCTTGTGGATAAACTTGTTGCCACCCAATTGCTAAAAGATGACCCATTAAAAGCTAATCGCAGATTAAACCGATTGTCGACCTTTTGAGCCTCATGAAACCCATATTATTTTGTTGAGTACCAAATGTACTTACGCTTGCTTTACTTTTTTAAATCTTTGGAAAAATCTCGAGATAGGTACCAGATTGCTAGAGTTTAGAGGAATTAGGCTTGTGATCAACCCGATTCGGTTATCCTGTGAAATTAGAGTCTTCACCCAAAGGTTGGAGTTGTCTTTTCTGTTGTTTGCTGTCTAAGGTTATACCTTTATACTAAGTACGTTATATATTGAGCATTCTCTATTGATATTACTCTTATTTATAGCTATATGTGAGATTTGACTTTCTAGGCTCACATATGGTGTGTATCTGATTTTGTTCTTAAAACCGGGTGCGACAGCTGCTAACCCCGCCATGGCCGCTGGGGCGTACGTGTCGTGGTACCTCAGGTCTTCCCCATACAAGCCAAGGGCACCCACAAGCATGACCGATGCTGGTGGTGCTCACGCGCCATGGCTCGCCGCCAGCTCCCACCCCAACTGCTAGAATCGACTGGCTCGACCTTCCCTCCCCTATGTTGCATATATATGTTTCAAGTGTTTCAGATGTTTTAGGTGTATGTTGTAATTGTTTCATCTTGATATAGCAGAAGTAGATCGGTGGATGCTGCACATGTTGCATATGTTGCAATCACTTTTTATCTAGATGTTGCCTATGTTTCACACATATTTTTGTGTGATATGTTCCAATTGTTCAAATTTGTTTTAGGTCTTATGTTGCAGCAAGTAGTTTCATGTTGCAAGTTGCAAGTGTTTTATTTGGATGTTTGATGTGTTTCACACACATATTACAAGTGCATGTTCCACATGTTTCATCTGTTTTCAGTCTTATGTTACATTCATGTTGCAAAGTGTTTTACGTTGTTTAGCCGTGGGGTGAGTCGGGGCCAAGTGGATGGGCACGTGATGCCGGGGGCGATGAGCGAGGCGTTGGGGATGGTGGATGGGGTGTTGTGGGTCGGGGCGCGCTAGGGGCGTGATCGTCCTTAGCCGCTCATCCTGGCTCTCCCAAGTGTCGCCCGCGTGGAGAGTCATCGGAGAGAGAGGACGGGGTCAGGGGAAGGACTGGCGGGCGTAGAGATGGGGTGGAGTGCACTCATGGGGCAGGGCGAAGGCGGATGGGGCAGGCTGCATGGGCGTCCGGACACGCGCGTTTGTTCGGACATCCGGGCGCTAGCCACGCCGTTACTTCATAGCTATTCAATTAATCAGTTTAATCATGATTGTAATTAACATTCATATTCACAACATTCAACGGAAAACAACTTAAGAATTATTCAATGTTCATTACATCATTTTATTTAGTAAAAAACATAACAGAGAGACATAGATTATACTCATCTTGAGAAAAAAATGAATATTTGCCTCAGTAAGGATTATCAGAGCTAAAAAAATTTGTGTCCAAACCAAATAACGGCGTTTAACGAACCTAAGGCCATAGCTACAGTAGCACAACAATTGACAATATCATAGCGGTATACCTCTGAAAATGCTATAGTGGAGCTATAGCATGTTAAAGTGGAGCAATAGTAAGCTATTTAGAACCATGGAGATACCCTAATTGCAGCTTAAGATTTGGTATCTAGGTACCAAATTTTACTTGGTACATCCCAAGTTGTAACTGATTGTACCTCTCCATGGATGGTAAAGTCAGCCTAGTTGTAGCAATGTTA